TCAGATCAAACAACGCACATATACAAACAACATATATACAAATCAATAAAATGAGTTTGTCTAGTGAAGCAAAAAAACATCTTCATGAATCATTACAACAACAGTGGTTAAATCAAAAGTCGGCTGAATATAATGAAGCAAAAAGGTTCTTCATAGGCTTAATGGATCTTAACTATAAACCTGGCTATAGAAATCATACGTATTATAAATATTTGCTTGCATCTAATGATCATGCCAGCTCAGCTAATAAAAATGATACTGCGCTTTTAGATGCATATCAACCCGAAGAGATCCATTTTCAATATATAGTTCGAGTAGCAAGAAAAGGCTATACAGTGATTGATTATCCTTCTGAAGTTTATGGAATACCTGATGCCCATGAATGTATTGATGGAAATCAACCCCTTCGTTTAGTAATCGATATTGACGCGAGGCAAAAGCCTGATTCTTCTAATCTTAAACTTCTTTCTCTAGATAATGAAAAAATTAATCGTGAGGATTTGATATCTCGAATTTTAGTCGCTTGTGCAGATGCATTGAGTCTTATACCAGGATGCATGCCTTTCTTAATTCTTTTGCATTAGCAAGTTCATCGAATACTAATAAATGCAGCTAGCATATTATCTATCCTTGCGGCCAATTCGTAGATTATAGAGAACTCAAGGGTTTTACGGAAAAAGTTATGAAATTAGTTGAAGAACCTTATGCCAAATTCATTGATGTTGGCCTTCCCAAATCACGTTTTAGTTTTCGACTTCTTGGATCGGCAAAAGAGGGACGCATAAAAAGACCTGCTATCTCTTCCGTAAATAAGGGATTTAAAAATTTAGATGATTACCTGGTTCAGCCTAAAGAAAATTATTTTGTAATCTGGCCATGAACCTTTTCGGAGGAAAGGCCAGCAGAAGAGGAATACCAACCTATCGATGATGATAATGCCTTGGTTAAGGGAGCCAATTTAGTTATTGCAAATTATGGGTAGCTCCAGATTGGAAGAATTGAGAAGGGATTCATCAACTTTCAAGCACAATCTGTTAAAGAATGCCCTATATGTGATGTTAAACATGAAAAAGACCAACTCTACAGATTTATTTGAAAAAATAGACATTTTATACTCAAGTGCTATCGGCAAAAACAATATAAACCAGATCACAAAGGGCTTAGTTTCGATAAGGTATCAGATAAAGTCGAATCAGAAGTGAAACTCAAGAAGTGGGGATTAATTGAAAGATTGCCCAAGGCTGTAAAACATCCACGCCCACTCGTAAAATTATCTGGAAATAATATTAATGTTAAGGAAATGGAGAACGCCCCAGAAGCTTATCCAGATTTCATGAGTGAGGAACCTACTACAACCCTAATTCGCTCACCCGTTGCCAGCGGAAAAACAAAAAGCTTAAGAGAGATTCTTAATTCTTTAGCTAAAAGTAAAGCAAATTTACCTTGTTTTAACTAGGTTTTATATCGTAAAACTCTTAGTAATGAAACTAAAAGTAAAATCGAAGTATTACAGAAATCCGGGCTTCATGTGTGCCATTATCAGGAAAATGAAGATAATTTAGCTATACGTGACTGGGATGTTATTATTGTTCAGATCAAAAGTACACATCGTCTTAATTTTTATGGGGTCGTTCTCATGTAGTTATTTTAGATGAAGCGAATGGTATTATGCGTCAAATGGCAAGTGGAATCCATACACGAGAATCTGAAAATGCCATGCGGGATTCGTTAAAGTCAGCTATTCACGTGGTTGCCATGGATGCTTTTGCAAATGAGTCGACTTTAGCCTTCTTAAGACAATACCGGGGTGAAAACATCTGAGTTTTTGATAATAAGTATCAGCCACGTAAAAGTGAGATTGTAAAAATCCTTTATGATTCAAATAAAGGTTCAGAAGCTATACGTAAAGGTCTTGAGATGCTTAAAGAAGGTAAGCG